GGTGTCGAATAAATCTGTGTCGAATCGAGCGGTGTCGAATCGTACTGTGGTCAAACGGAACCCGCCCCACTGCGGCTGTTGCTGGCGCTGCCGCAGTGGCAGTCCCGGCGCCGTCCGGGCAGGAGGCCCCTTCCCCCTGCCCGCTCCAGCGGCATCACCCGAAATGCCAACAGGCGTCACTCCCTCCGCCGGAGTCTTTCCCTTACGCCTACCACGGCGCACCACTTCCACCCATTTAAAGGGTGGGAATTCATCCTCACCCCCCGAACCAGCAGGCCTTACAGGGCTACGCTGTCGGGGGGCCGGGGGTAAATCTTTCTCCCCTGTCCGTGCGGGTTGAGTCCCTTTATGAAGGGGTTCCCCCTTTAATACAGCCGCCATCTGCTCCTGCAAAGAAGCCACGCTTCGTGGTAACTCCTGCAGATGGCGGCTGAGCCCCTCTCTGGGCTGATCTTCGCCCCAAGCGAGCCTCGCCGGAATGCCTGTACCAGGCGGGCCCGGGGCCTCCCTTTTTCTCTTCTCCCGATGACTTGGGGGAGGAACAATTCCCGGCAGGAGGGATTGACTTCCCGCCGGGACCACCTCGACCGACAGAACTGTCGGCCCTTTCTTCTCTCTCTCTTTCCTTCCCGGCCATTCTTGTGCCGGGGCGACATCTGTCTGCACAGCAACTGTCGCCGTCTTGCAGGGGACTTCCGCCAAGCGCTGTCCGGCCTCATGAGTTAACCTCATAACACTAATGTGGAGGTTGGCGTTTTCCACCTTTAACTCCTCAACCTCTGCCCTCAGAGCATCAAATTGCTGCACCAACTTTTGATGCTCTGCGGCAGCGGCGGCTCTCTCCTGCAGAAGATCGTCGCGCTCTCTCTCAGCGACACGTGCGTTCAGTCGGAGGGTGGTCTCATCCCCCCACTCCATCACGCTGTCTACTAGGGCATCGCGCTGGGCCCGCAACTCCAATATGCATGTCTTTATCCCGTGCTTCCCCGACCCCTTGAGATTCTTACTTATACTTTGGAGTCGGTAAAGCTCGTTCAGACGGGCTTCCATTTTCGCCCCGATGTTTTGGGGCGGCATATCGCGGTAGCATTCCTCCCCCGGAACGTCTGCGTCGGATCCCCAGAAGCCCTCCGACTCCTCTTCAGGATCCGCCTGGCGGCGCCTCTTTGTGGCCGCACGTGCCGGCCTCTTCTTTTTCCCCCCCTTGGATGACAATGGGGAGGAAGTTTTTCTACCGGTTAAAACCGCTAGCAAGCCAGCTTTACTTGACTTCGGGCCAGGGCGGCTAACGATGCCGCTCCCCCCAGGCTGGCTCCCCCCATCCTTCTTCGGACGCCTGTTGATAGACGTCCCCTCGCCCTCCGGGAGATGGAAAAACCCGGTTACGGCAACGTCCGGAGACGCCCCGCGCAAAGACCTTGCAGTCAGCGAGCTATCGACACTAGCTATGGACTACGTCCATGTCCATGGATGGGACATCCCTCGTTGTGCTTGCAGTAGCAATAGAGACCGCCTCGCCTGCGGCGCACGAGACGGCCGGCCCCTCACTCGATGACGACCGAACGGGGGCAGAGCCTTGACCCCCGAACTGCCGAGACCTGGGTGTCCGTTCACCCTGGTCCAGTAAGTCTCCTTTCTTTATGGTGTCTGACATCATAAAATTCTTTGGGTGGTTTAATTTCGGAGTTTCTTTCTCCTAGGACGATTCCCGGCCAAAGGTAACGAGTCCGTCCTACCCGGGTTTGTAGTCAGGGTTTTCCTTCCCCTAGTCCAGTGGCCGACCCGAAAGCGCCTCTCGGAGCTGGACACCCCGGATTTTTAGTCAGGGTTTACTCCCCTAGTGCAATTGCGCCGTGGGTGACGGAGTCGGACGCCCCGGATTTGTAGTCAGGGTTTTCTCCCCTATCCCAGTTGCACCGGCAAGAAGTGCTAAGCGAGGCTGGGAGCCCCCGGTTTTTGTTCAAGGTTTTCCTTCTTCTATTTCCTCTTTTAGTACAGGAGCTCCGCGAAGGGCCTTTCTGGCATGGGTGACCCTGCCAGGGAATCAAAAGATTCCCCGCCAGTATAGCCCCTTCGCTTCACCACTCCTAAGCCTGGACACCACGACAAGGTGGAGGAAAGTCGTCCAGGCCACTAAGGAGCCCTCCCCCAAGCGGCAGAGGGGAGGCAAGTCAGCCTCCCTTTTACCGAGAAGAGAAAAGCCGGGACCTAAGTCCTCCAAGTCGGGCAATTAAGCTCGACTTGGAGGCAGTATCCGTGCTCGGGGCGGGGGGGTCACGGCTCGGGCGTGACCCCCGGACCCAGCCCCAGTCATGGTCTCGGCTGCTTGGTCTCGGGTAAGGGGTACAAAATATTGTATTGACCTCTCCTGACTTTGGTCACGGGGGGCGGGGACTTGGTGTGGCAAGTTGGGGAACTTGCCATTGCACAAGTCTCCAGGGAGGGGCGGCTTGAGGAGGGCTATGGCCCCCTCCTCCTGCCGCAACCCCAAAGGCAACGGTGATAGGGGGCGTTGTCCTTTGGGGGCACGTCTTGGACTCGGGGGGGCCTGGAGACGTAATAGCCTCGCGGCTGCCACAGGCTCCCCCACTATGTCCGGTGGAGGCCATCGAGGGGTTTTAGTGGGTGCGAGTCCCACACTCCCCGCCCAAATCCCCACAGGGCGGGGGTGCATAACGCATTTCTCCTCGTAAAAAAAAAAAAAAAAAAAAAACGTACAGCCAACAGTTCACAATCGACAATGTCGTTGACGTCGAAGTAACCGCTCTGTGCGACAGCAGTTGCGAAGCTCGCGGGATCTGATGTTTCAGACAGGATCGCGAAATACCGCGACAATCTGTCTTGCACGCGAATAACAACGTCGTTCAAGTAGGCGACGATGCAAGCAACGCAATGTTTTAAGTTGAACAAGTTGCACACCGATTAGTGGGACAGTAATATGCGACTGGTTTTTGTAGTCAGACGTATGATCTTCGCGTTGTTTATCAAGCTGAACGATACCACCAGATCGTCGACAAGAATCGACGGCTGCGCGTCGCTCTGCCTCGCCAAACACAACGTGACGACTCGTTCGTTGTCCAACAACGTCTTCCACATTTCTGGCGACAAAAGCACCTCGTTCCCATTGTTGTCGTCTAGAGCTATATCAACGGTTGGTGATGCATCCTTAAATGAGATACCGATGCCGAGTTCGAAATACTTGTATCCTCTGTCTTGGTTAACATGTACTTGCGGCTCAGTATCCGCGTAGGTTGTGTCGGTGCGTCTGATATAATCGATGTAGGCTGGATGCCATTGCATTGTCTGTGAATAAGAAAACTAAAAACATGATGTTATCGTGAATAAAAAAAATAATAAAAAATAGAAGCAGCAAAAAAGAAAGCAAAACAAAAATATTTACTCTTGATCGAACGTCTTTCTCTTCGCGCCGTTGCGTTGGGGCTCGCGCTGAAAATCGATGGAAGGTTGTTGTTGTTGTTGCTTCAACGGAGCCATCGAGCGAAACATCGTCGAGCTGTTCTTTACGAAGAGGAGAAAGATCAATAACCCGTAGCACACAGGACGATCACAACGAGACTGACTGACTGACTGACTGTATGGTTGCCATGCAGCGGTTTATATATCCTTTACATAAATAAAGCGATTTCCCCCCACTCTCAACGTGCACACATACTATATCTACTCTGAATAAAGAGCGTGTTTATACTTTTCGAGTTGAGAAACTAGGGACTTTAAGTTGTATAAGATGTTTATATCCGGACAATGTATATCAATTAATCGCATATTAAAAGGTCCCACAGAGTGCATGAAACTGGTGAATTCGCTGAACGCGAGATATCTCTCGGAGTACAGAAAGTACACAAAGCCATCTGCATTACGGAAGGCCAACGACATACTTGGCGGAACTCCCGGAAACGTTAGTTTCAATTTGTTGGATTCCTTAATCCTCACGATACAATCATCTACAACGGCCACAGAGTCGTTGTTGAATATGACGTAGGTGTGTCCCATAGAAGATTGAAACGCAGTGTTAATGGCGGCATCGCTAGGCAATCCAATCTCAGAGAAACTGCGCGGCCAACCGTCTTGCAATTGTAAACTGGGATAGGAAACCAAGTACACATAACCATCGGCGAAGAGCACGAGCTCGCCGGATGATTGTTGATAAGCAGCATCCAGCTTTGTAAAATTGGATGGGAGAAAGCGCAAGTATTCTTTCAACAGATGTGGATAAATATGCGGGCCCCAGTTCGAAGAGGCTATATACACATATTTATCATACGCAATGATTGTAATAGTTTTCATCAAAAGTATTACATTGGGATTGCGCACTTCGCACACGTGCCTAGGTGGTAGCTGCTTGGGTTTACGTGGCAATGGCGGCTGCGGCGTCGTTGTTGTCGTCGTAGTCGGTGCGACCGTCGGAGGGACAAATGTAGAGACCGGCGGTAGTTCAGGTGCATTCGGGTTAGGTCCATAATGGTTGTGCACAGCCAGAACATCATCCAAGCGTAACAGGCCACTGTTTAACAGGCACGAACGCGTACTTTACCGAATTGTCGCGTGGACTGTGCTCTATTCCTATAGCATGTCCGATCTCATGAATCAGTGTGTGCAACAGATGATCCTTATTCCATGGATTTTCAGTGAGCTGCACGTTCCACTGTTCCTCATTGTCAATATGTATCTCAGAGACATGGTTGAGATCTCCGTTGGGATAATACGCGTGAGCGAGTACTCCACCTCGACCATCAAAGTCAAACGGGCACATAGTATCCGAGTAATGCTTGTCCCACATAGTGTGCCGTTTACCTTTATATAAAATTACTATGTTAGGATTGTGCACGCTGCGTGTAAAAGTCAGCGATGAATTAGCTGCCCTCAGAGCGAACGCAGCCTCCGCTATTTGTAGATTCGCTCTAGAAGCGAACAGAAAGTTCCATGTGAGATGAGTAGCCACTTGTGTATGTACTCCTTGTTCGAGTAACGCGTCTGGATGTCTCAAACTCCACAACGCAGTCTGTTCATTGTGCGCATCGTTTCCGCGTTTAATTCACCATTTATGGGTAGATTGTAGAATTCTTGAAAAAGCGAGACAGCGTGATTCAACGCGCTCTCGGAAATCAATGAGTTATCTACGTTGTCCTCTAGGTAACCGTACTTGCGTAGGAACGCGATAGCGGCCTCTCTTCCATCGACAACGCTCCTCTTTGTCGTATTTGTCATCGATCTCGTCAATGCGATCGACGTCGACGTCGCGAACGCGACGAGGAGCGCGAGAAACGCCAACGGCAATGCGAGCGACGTCATCGTCTTTGCGCGCGAACTGATACTAAATAACAATCGATTGCCGCGCGGGTGGCGATCGAAGAAGAGAGGGCGCAACAATCGCAATATTTTACAGAACAAATAACACCAATGTAGTTGCAAATAGAAAAAAAGCTATTGCACGCATGGCAATATATATATTTAGTACAAGGAAAACCGCAACGCTCGCCAGACGGCTGCAGCAGAAGCGTCAACGACTCTGGAAATCGCGAGACGTTTTATATAGAGTTGCATACGGAAGTTGCGGCTGATCTCGCAAATGCAAGACGCACGCTAAGAATAACGCATAGACTTAATCAGAATGCTGCGGATACTGCGGAGACGCTCTACTGTTCTCAGTACTGTTTCTAAGAGAAATAGTTCTGATTAGAACGTCCTGCAGGATGTGTAAACATTTACAAAAATGTGTTCAACCACATATTGTTAATGAAATTAATATTGTGCGGAAAAAACTGGTGCACATGCTGGGGATAAGCATCCGCTGCAACAAACTATAAAAGGATGATGCATGCAGAGCAAATATGTAGAAAGTTAAAAATCATAGCAATGGGTAGACTGGACGAGTGCGTTGACGCAGCGGACCGTATTGTAGCTGTTGCCGAAGCTTTGATCTGTATGACCAGACAGTTGGCGAATCAAATTAAAGAAGTGCAGAAGATCAATCAAACAAATACGGAATACGGGAGAGAGTTCTTCTTTACGATTACACCAAATCCTATGGAAGAGACGATCCTGCTACAACAATTGTAAGTGTCACAAGAAGAAAAAATAACTAAATAAATAAAATAAAGTAAATAAATTGAATAAATTAAATACATTAAATAAATTCAATAACTTGAATAAATTAAATACATGTAAATAAATTGAATAAATTAAATACATAAAATAAATTGAATAAATGAAATACATTAAATAAATTGAATATATTAAATAACAAGAAGTATATACAATTTAGTTATATATTATGTGTGTTCCTTTTGTTATAGATTTAACATACACCACCAAATATACATGTGTAGCGAAGATGTTGCAGCGATGACTTATAGCTCTGAGACCATCGTTCAGGATGGAAAATATATACAACAACGGATCACGAAAGATGACGATGTAGTCAAATAAAGAAATTAAAATAAATATGTACAAACTCAAAATATATACTGGATAGACATTAATGTAAAAAAAAAATAAATGTGAAGAAACAAAACAAAAGAGAAAGACTAGTCAGAGCATATTGTGTGTTTATACTTCCCTAAACATAAAAAATTATAGATCATAAGAAGAAAAAATTGTATACAAATTAACAAACCACACTAGATTTTATATGTAAAAACAATTCTTTATTCATACGCATATAGTGACATACAAATGGGACATATGTCACAAATAGTATAATAGAATGAATATATAGAGTAATATGTATAGTATATTTAGTTAATAAACAATACAAAGCTACAGGTCGCTCAACGTATCGTTCCGCGTTGACCACCACGCGTATAATTTACACACGTTCTCTATAGCGCAATTTCTCGAGTGGTTTTCGCAGTTGAAAACTCGCGAATCGTCGAGATTTCGCAGACTTTCGATGTCCTCATAGTCGATGTCGATGGTTTTGATGATGATGTCACAATCGTTGAGGACGTCGCCAACGATCTTTGTCAACCACTGCTTCTTCTCGACACCTTTTACATACACTAGTGTAGACCCGTTGTTCGGTGCGCTTGACAGAGCGTTTCGAAGCATCGGCTTCAAGCGTTGATATTCCACCGTTCCATCGGTCCAGTGCAGGCTGTGATGGTTGACCGTGAGCCAGCACGTTCGCGTCTGCTCGGCTTTTGTCAACAGGTTCCACGACATAGGTTCTCGAAACACATGGTGAATCAGCTCGCGTCCGTTCCGAAGTATCGCCGCTTCCTTGGTTATAAAGTTGTTATCTTCAATCATAAAACCTTAGAGATCCACGAATATTGGTATGCTCACCGAGGAACGCAGCATGGTGGACATCGTTGTCGTCGACGTTGACAAAGCGTGCGACATCGTTGACCATTCGAACGCGACTGACGACTGCTCTAAACGATACGTCGCACGACGCTGGTCAGCGGGTTGTACTCGACAATACGATTGTGTATGATCAGACTGTGACGGGGCAGCCCGTCACTGTAAATATTTTATATAAAATACAAAAATATATATACTTAGAGTATCCCGAGCGTAACATTATTACCCGTCCCCAAGTAGCCGTTAGACCGCACCGAAAGTGTTACAACGTGTACACTTTGCCCCGTCTCATAGAAACGCGCCCTAAATCTAGGGACCGCGAGCGCCGCG